CCCAGTGAAAAACTCGAAAACCAACAAAATGAGACCAAATCACTAAATCGGACGAACCGATTCGAATCGAACCGGAATGGCCCAGCCCACTTTCCTTCCTTCCTTTCTTTTTCTTTCTTTTCTCTCCTTCCTTTCTCTCCTTCATCCTCCGCGCGCGAACAGCCCCCCCCCTCTCTTCTCCCTATCCTTCGCGTTTCCGGCCACCGTTCAAACAAGATGAAAGGCGGCGGGCGATCGGTTCTTCTGGCGATGCTGGACACGTTTCCAACCTCCCCTCGCTCCGATTGGACCTCCAGCGGCGCGAATCGAGACCATCTCCTCCGACAGTCACACTCTTCGATCTCCGGCGACTTCTCGCCATTTCCGACGGGCTCAAGGTGAACTGAAGGTCTTGATTGACTCCTCTCCTCCAGACGAACATTTCCCCTCCACCGATTTGCTTTTTCACTTCAGTTTTGAGGAAACTCCATAGGAGGCGGCGAAGAGGGAACTGTCGAGGTCGATCCGTCCAAACGAGCCACTGCCTCATCAAATTGTTGGTAGATTTGAACTCCTTGGGAAAATTGGAGTCGGGTGGTGGTGGCCTTGCAATTTTCTGGGCGGTATCGTTTTTTCGGCCTCCGTGCACGGCGGCCGGTGGCGGCGGTCCGGTGACCGGCCGGAGACACTCCGGCGAGGCCCCAAGAGGCAGAATGATCTCCTCTTCGCATTGATCATGGAATTGTGGTCCGATTCTCAAGGTCCCGATCTCAAACGGTACGCCCTAAATCCTAATTCCCCAATTTTTGTTTTAAACTCCAATTTAAAACTATTAATTGATTAAGTTGAAATCAAATTATAATCCTTGGCTATGAATTAATTAACTGATATAAGTAGTTTACAAATTAATTTTGAACATTTTTAAAATAAATTACATGGTTTTATTGTTATCAATAGGTGAAATTTGAGGGGGAAAATAATTAGAATTGTTAATTAGTTTTAATTAGATATCATAGTTTTTAAAACTAACCGTTGTGCATAAGAAAAGTGAGGGCGAATTTTAGTTTTGGTTAACGGTTAGATCCGAAATTTTGATTAATTAAGATTTGGGAGGCCTAGCCATTTTTGATATTGATATAAAAACCGAATTTTAATAGGTAGTAGTTATAATTAGTTATTATTAAAATATGTTTTAGCCGTTTAACAAATTAGTTATCGTAAAGCTAATAATTTAGTTAACTAATGACTTAATAAATGATCTTATATGGATATTATTAGAATTAGTTTGTAAATTTTTAGTTGAGTGTTGATATTATTGTTTTTGGAAGGAGGATGAGATTTTAAATTGATTGATTGCCCGACGGATGGGCTGTGTGCACTGATTGATAAAGATATGATAATATTGTGATATATTTGAGCAGGTAGATAGTCCAATTTTTAAGGGGAGGTGCTGCCGGACACATTTTCAATAGAACTTAGACAAATTTTAAATTATAAACATAAAACCACAATCAAGCTTATTAGATAAATTCTACAATTTGATACATAATAAATAAAGATGCTTTAATACCTTATCATATCACATCTGTTTATTATTATATTATTATTATTATTATTATTATTATTAATATTATTAATTATTATTATTATTATTTATTTTATCGTCTTGTTGTTATTCGCTTAATATTACCTCTCTCACACTTTCAATTATTTAATTGCATTTGATTAATGGCGACTCGCTCTTAATTGTAACATTGCATTCCAATATGTAAACTGATCAATAATGTCTGCTTATTGCAAAGTTTTGATTAATTGTTTCTCGCTCGCATAATGCTATGCCTTGTTTTCGTCTGCTCGCGAGTTAGGAATGAAGTGGGTCACCAATAAGCGTTTGTGAGACCGTTCTGTTATATGATCCCTGATTCTGTTTTCTGTTAGTTCGGGTAAATGGGCAGATCGGCGCCTCCGTGGTGCACCTACCGTTACCGTTACTCGTTACCCACACCTCCGGTTGGCTTCTTTATTGGGGCGCAACCGGATTAATCTAGATTTGGATCGGCAGCCCGCAGGTGGCTCTTTCGTAGGCTGATGATCTAGATTTGATGGAGACGACCGGGGTTGCCTCCTGTTGGTATGAAAAAAGAAAGAGAGGATAGAAAAACAATGAAAGGGGCTGTCAAGTGAGGATTAAGCCGGTCGGGCCAGTCATGGGCGATCGGTCCCTGCCGCGGACCATGTGAAGGGATGGCCTGTGAGAGGACGGCTCATCGGGGGTTTGGGACTCCAACTGACTAATTTCCAACGTGATGTGATTATAATGAAAGATGTAATAGATTGTGAAGTGCTGGATTTACCCATTTGTGTGACTGGCCTGCGTGAGCATATAACTAGTCGGACCGACTAGGATTAATATGTTTACACATTTCGCGCCTGACGACTAGATTAATATGTTTACACATTTGTGTGACTGCGTGTGTGGTGCAAAAATTATTACTCCTTAGAAAACTCACATGTCTTATTTGATTTTTCAAGAAGTAGGTTTTTTCTTTAATCCGATTTAGGCTATGTTTCTTTGGCGCAGGGCAATAAAGAAATTTTTCCTAGTTCCATAATTATTTTTGCTATGTAATTATGTGTATAAAAGCTATGTATACTAAGAGTTAGTGACTCCGCAGATGTAGGATTTACATATATTTAGTCGTGTATTAATATAGCCAAAACAATTCTGTAAGCCTATATTAGAAATGTGATGCATTGTGAATTGAGCCCGAACTATGAAATGTCGTAAAAGATAAACTTGGGCCGAGAAATAATAAAATCTTGAGGTTTATTGTTCATAATCATATGGGCTGAATGTTAAAATTCTATTGAGATAGTAAATTTCGTTAAAATTCTATTGAGATAGTAAATTTCTACTATTTCAGGCTTACTATGGGCCTTAAGCTTACCTGGGCTCTAGTGCCGGTCCGGCCCACGGAAACGGGTCGTGACACAAACTAAAAAGTATATAATAACTATTGATACATCAAAATATTTTATAGAGCTAGGGGAGGCGGTGGCCCCAGCTCCGCCTCCCTCCATCACTGTATATAAATCAATATTGGATCAAAATCATCTGTTTTAAAATTTTAAACTGGAACCGACAGTTCATGGCTCATTAAGATTTATGTAAATGTTAAAAAGGAACTTGAATCAGCGCAGATCCATTGGTTAATTAGCGGTTCCTGTATGGTTTGAACCAAAAATTTTAATTTTAATTTTGAAAAATTTATAATCACTTAGTCTATTCTATGTATTTGTATAACTCTAACTAAAATCTTTTACTACATAATAAACTTGACTTCAAAAGTTGATTTTAATACAAATGCGAGTTTAACAACATTTTTTCCTTCTAAATCTTTTTATTTAGTCTAAAATTATATTATTTGAAATATTTTTCGAATTCTTATAACAATTTATTTAATTAATAACATTTTAAAAAATAAAATTATAATTTATTTGATTATTTTGTATTTATTTGTATTTATTTAATTAATAACATTTTAAAAAATAAAATTATAATTTATTTGATTATTTTGTATTTATTTGTAAAGTTAATAAATTTTATTTCTTATATGAGCATGAACATTCTAAAAGTTGTTTAAAATAAAATTTACAATTATTTTCTCAAATTCACATTAATTATTTTAGGAAAGAGATTTAATCCTAGAAGCAAATTTATACATTTTTTAAAAATGAAAATACAAGTATCACCAGAACTATTGGTTCATCAATCAAAACCACGCTGAAACTAGTTGGAATCAGAACGGTATCAGCACCAACAGTTCAAGAACTAATTCAGGTTCAATATTTTCAAATATTTTCAAATATTTTGAACTGCCGATTCAAATTCATAGAACTAACAGTTCAATAAATCGGACATGCCTAATTGAATATTCTCAAATTCATAGAACTAACAGTACAATAAACCCGACATATCTAATTGAATATCCTTATCCAAATTAGCTCTATGCACCAGCACTAAAGGCAAAACATAAGGCAATTATTATAACACGTAGCTATGTCCCCACTTAAGGAAAGCCTTATAAGCAAGAACCTAGATGCTTCTTATCGTGAGAAGATTCTTGAAAATAACTCGAAGGACTTATATTAGAATTGATGGGTCTAGTACAAGATAATATTTGGTCATCTAAGATGAATTCCAGTACTCGTGAAATTGGAACACTTGTTTTCTTAGCACATAGACTTTAGAACTCTTGTTGGATGGCGTAATTAAGCAACTAATTTACGACAGCTGCACACTTTAATTATCTAGCACGCTTGTAATCCACTCTAAACAGTCATCTAGCCAATTATTTTTGCTTTTTTTAGCGAAACATAAACTCTTTTTCTTTAGTTTACGAGTGTTATAAATCATATTTAAAGCAAGTATTATTTCTAAATTACACTTATAAATTGTTGAATGAATAATCCTTGTAGAAAATATATCTAGCTCCGTGTCCAAGATGAGTGTTAATAATTCATGCAAATGAACGATAGATTTGGACTTGAATTTGTTGTGTAGTGTAAAGATCTACGATACAATAATGCAACTAATCATGCAAATGACAAAACACGTGTGGTGCTAAAAAATTGAGCTTAAGACCAACGGTAATATTTTATGTCGGTTGCGGTGGTAAATGAATGGTAGAGTTGGACTTGAATTTGTTGTGTAGCGTAAAGATCTACAATACAATAAATGCAACTAATCATGCAAATGACAAAACATGTGGTACTAAAAAATTGAGGTTAAGACCAACAGTAATATTTTATGTGGGTTGCGGTGGTAAATGAATGGTAGAATTGGACTTGAATTTATTGTGTAGTGTAAAGATCTACAATACAATAAATGCAACTAATCATGCAAATGACAAAACACGTGTGGTGCTAAAAAATTGAGGTTAAGACCAACAGTAATATGTTATGTCGGTTGCGGTGGTAAGCGAGCTCAACTTCCCATAAAGTGAAAACATTTTATGATTATAAGTAAAAGCGTTGGTGCCATGGCAGGACTCAGGGTACCTAACAATAACATAGCCCACATTTTATATTCTGAAGCCTCCAAAAGAGTGCGAGAGATCAGAGACTGAGCAACACAAAAGAGATTTTAGAAAAAATGAGCGATAAAGAAGAAGCAGCAGCACAAACAGAAATTGAAATGTGGAAATATGTATTTGGGTTTAGCAATATTGCAGTGGTTAAGTGTGCTTTTGAGCTTGGAATAGCCAATGCTATTGAAAACCATCAAGGACCCATCACGCTAACTGATCTATCATCCACCATTGGATGTAACCCATTTTCTCTGTATCGCATCATGCGGTTCTTAGTCCATCACAATATTTTCAACGAGCAACTCACTGCCGACGGTACCAAAGGCTATATACAGACACCTCTCTCTCGCCGGTTACTTGGTCCCGGGGAGAACAACATGGCGGCTTTTGTTTTACTTGAGAGCAGTCCGGTTATGCTGGCACCATGGCATTTTCTAAGTTCTCATGTGAGACTAAATGGGCCTACGCCGTTTGAGGCAGCTTACGGCGACCATCAGTGGAAATATACAGCAGCAAACCCAGGCCATAGCAATCTATTCAATGATGGAATGGCTTGTAATGCTAGAAATATGGTGTCTAATATGGTTGAAAAGTGTATAGAGGTATTTGATGGGGTAAAAACTTTGGTAGATGTTGGTGGAGGAAATGGGACTGCTTTAAGGACATTGGTTAAGCTTTGTCCTTGGATTCAAGGCATTAACTTTGATCTTCCTCATGTTGTGGATGTTGGTTAAGCTTTGTCCTTGGATTCAAGGCATTAACTTTGATCTTCCTCATGTTGTGGATGTTGCAGAAGCATGTGTTGGTGTTAAGCATGTTGGTGGTGACATGTTTCAATGTATTCCAAACGCTGATGCTGCTTTTCTAATGGTCAGTTTTTGCGTACATTTTGTTCTTGTTTTTGCTCAAACAAGATCCCTTTTTTCCGGGATTCAATTTAATATACACACAACTCTTTTTTCAAGTTTACAAAATAAAATAATACAACCATTTTCCAAAAAGAAAATAAATGTTCTTTTGAATAGTAATTTAAGCAGAAAAAAATAATTGGATGGTGTAGAAAAGCATTTATATGTTTTTTTTTTTTTTTTTTCCCTTAGAATCTTTGAAACTGTTAGTATTTATAGTAAGTAGTGTAGTAACTACTTTGTCTAGTATTTAGTATTTATAAGCCTTAGTGTAGCATTTACAGAATATATTATTTGAAACATTTATACTTTCTTGTATGAATTTGTGATTAGTATTTATTATAAATAGTAATTATTTTAATTTATAATTACAAACATTACTGATGAAGCACAAAATATCTTGCAATCTTCAATTAACACAGCAATCTTCAATTAACACACTAAAATCAGAGTCCTCTACTGTCTACAGCTTTTGAGACAATTGCCTACCAAATTTCCTGAGCATCTGGGACGACCAATATATTATCCATTTGGTGGTTCTTTATCGAGGAAAACGCTTGTCGTAGTTACATCTTCTGCCATTCTTGGAGTGTGTATCTATAAGACAAAAAACATTACCCATCTACAAAAGATTTCCCTATGATCTCAAAAAATAACAATGGTTGCATCAATGTTTCATTTAAGAATTAAGTGTATGCAATGCTAATTTGAGTTACTAATTTGAGATGTATCAATTATTTATCTAGTTATCGATTTAGTTAAAAATCAAAAAATCAAAAATTATTTTCACACTTTGTAATCACAAGTAAAAGTTTAAATGACGTGCGTTGAGGCATAGCATAATAGTAAGTTTATGTACTTGGCAATAGATTATGTTGAATGATATTTAACCTAATTTCACTTGTAAATTGCAGTGGGTTCTTCACGATTGGAATGATGACGAATGTATCCGTATCTTGAAGAACTGCAAGGAAGCTATTCCAGAGGAAAATGGGAAGGTGATAATTGTTGAAGCTGTGATTGATGAAGCAAATGACGACAAGCTTGAGTTCGTGAGGTTGGCGTTGGACATGGTGATGATGGCTCATACTACAGGTAAAGAGAGGACATCTAAGGAATGGGAATATGTTCTTAAGGAGGCTGGCTTCTTAAGGAGGCTGGCTTTAGCCGTCATACTATAAAGTCCATAGCAACTCTTCAATCTGTCATTGAGGCCTTTCCTTGAATATGATTTATTAAAGCCAATTAGTGCTTGTAATTTTTTTTTTTTTCTATCTTAATTTGCTCTGGTTATGGATTTCTCAAGACAGTTTGTGTTATTGTTGTGCCATGTACTCAACCCATTTTCACCTGAATAACATTTAAATATCTGGCTTTGATGTTATATTCAATATTTCTTTTTATCTATGAGTTAATTGTTTATTATACTTACATTGAAATTTTTTTTTTTAAATAATCATTTTATTGTTAACAATAATGAATTTTTTATTATGTATAATATTATTTAAAATTATTTCTAGTTATAGGATTGTTAAAATAAATATTGATAGTTTCTGTATGAACTCATCGAGTTAGTTTGCATGAGAATCGTTTTGGAATATTAAGACCGTTTAGAGTAACTATTGATATAATGTAACAAATATCGGAAACCTCACATGGCATGTTAATCATTGCAAGCTAGCTAACAAATTGGTTAGTGATAACGTCTTAGTATTGCTTGACCCAAACTTAAAAAATAAATTTTGTTGGCTCAAGGGTCAAATTCTAATCTCGAAATTTTGATGATTAAAACAAAATAAATAAATTTAAATTATATTATTTGTGCTAATGATTATCTGAAGAAGGAAAATAATAAACTTACTGTTAAACTATGTCTTGGTATGCAGGAAAAGCCCTCCTTATAATTATATACCTAATTTCAAAAAATTTCAAAACAAATTTGAAAATACCCCATGCCAGATTTCTCTCACCACCCAACCTCTTGTTGGACCGGTGTGAAAAAACAATAATCTTGAAATGGCAAGAAAAAACACCGATAAAATATTATTACACACTGTAGGACACAATCACGAGTCACTCAGAGTTTGCCATCTCCAACGATATAGGACGAACATGAACCCCAATATGAAGGGTGATACACATATTGAATAATTCTCCTGAGAATAAATGGTAAATGCACAATATAAAATGTCTCATGTGAAAAGAGAAAAAATTAAAGAAAAGAAAAAAGGAAAAAGCACCAAAATATCGTATTGATACATAATCTGTTAAGCTCTCAGAATTTTGAGATTCAGTAAATTGTGAATAACAGGTAATTTTTGAATATATAGTAGACTTAATACTAAGATAAGAATTACGAATCTTGTATTATGTGTTAATATGAATTTAGTTAGGAGTCTAATATTATTATTTTAATATTATTTATTATTTTATGTTAACATTATGAAAAAAAAAAAAAGGAAAAAGATAATGAAAGCACAAAAGTTGCGCATATCTTTCAAAAACATTTGGGGTAAAAACTTTTTTTTTGAACAAAAAAAAAAGGGACTACTAGGCATCCCGTAGGGGTACCGACCCCCTTTCTGCAGGATTATGGCATTGCGATCCTCAGCACATGATAACAAGAGCCCAGCTTGAAGAATCCACTTTAAGTGTGCCAAGTTCCATGGCAACAGAGTTATTATTTAGACATCATGTACGATGGAATGTGCTCATTATTATTTAGACATTATGTATGATAGAATGTGCTCATGGAAGAACGAATCCAGCAAGTGGATGACAAGTCTTATACAACCTGGTCACCACCTCGGGTGGTGCAGAATGAGACGATAAAGCATGTCTGCCCACACAAGTCTTATAAACCAACCTGGTCAAACCACCTCGGGTGGTGCAGAAATGAGAACGGATAAAGCAAATATTCTGCCGCACTTGCCCAAAATAGATACAAAAACTATTGTCGTGGCAAATCTAGAAAAATTTATGATGGACAAAATCACAACATTAAATTTTTTTAAAAAAAATATAACTAGATTAAAGAATTAATATATATTAAAATTTTAAATGAGAATATGTATAATAAAGAAATTAAAAAAGATCATTGATCGCTTTTTTTTAATATAAGTGGAAAAAATTGAAGCTAGTTAATTAATTAACGGAAAAACAAAATGTTTGTTTATGTCAGAAAATTTTAGTGTAGGCTACTATTAAATTGTGGACTATTTAGTCCCTGAAAACGGACTATGGGCTTATACACCTCTAGTGAGCCCAGTTGAATAAGACAAGTTAAAATTATAGGTCTAGATTCTGTGAGGACTTGTAATGAAAAAAATGTATATAATATAAGCTAGATCTCGTCTCCTTCCTAAACTCTTAAGCTTGGCCTAAATCCATTAAAAAAGCTGCCTTCGTGAAATAAGGAAACGGAGAGAAAGATCTAGTCCCTTCCTCTTACAAATTCCTGATTTCGTGTTTGAGTGTCCTGATTGCAGATAAAGGAAATCGTAACTCGCACTTTAAAATTTAATACTTCAAATCATAAATCATGTAATGCAAATTGCTTCCAACATTATTAACAGCTGGTGCTCTAAATTCATGTACTAGAAATCACATTAATTTTCTTACATGTGGTATTCAAAACCTTGAATTTGTGGGCGAGAATTTAGAACCTAAAATATTAACTTTTGTATATATATATATATATATATATATATATTAATTATGAATAGTGGAAATAATATGACTTGTTTGTGCGTAAATTAATTTGATTAATTTTTGCGACTGAATATTATTATGAGTTTTAAAAATTCCTTTTAAACTCTTTAGTGATAGCCGCTCATTAATTTTTTTATTTCATTACAAATGTTTAAATGTTTTTTTGTTAAATAAGTTTACAAAATCTAGGACTTATTTAGCACAAATTTAAGTTTTTGATGTTTTTTTCTATTTTTTTTCGTGGTTTTTTATCGCTCCATCTTGTGTGGAATTTTTATTTTATTTATTATTATTATTATTTATATATTATTATTATTATTTTTTGCCATTTGTTTTTGGTTTATATTGAGACTAATTAGAGTTATAACAATTAACATTTGCAAATGTTTAATAGTATGGTTTTTGATGTTATTTCTTTGAAAAATTATTTCTATGTATTTAATTGGAGATTTGCATTAAAACATTTTGTATGTATCCTAACTGGACCACACAAAAAATGGTTGTTTTATACTGACCTTTAAATATATTTTCTAGGACATTAGACAAAAGATTTATATTTTTAAGCTAGTCTTGATTTAATTTATAAATGACTCTAATTTTTTATTTTCAAAAATTTTTATTTCCATTATATTTAGTAAAACTGACAGCCTGTAAATGTTATATTAATATTTTAGTGGCACACTACCATGAGAAACCGAATCAAAAAAACCGATTGAAAAAGTTGAAAACCGATTGAATCGAATGATTATGGGCCGAATCGAACCGAATCAAAACCCGGTTCGACACCAAAACCATCTAGAAAATTCTCTTTTTTCTTTATATCCAACGCTAAGCTCACTTCGCCCCTCACCAGCTCAACCTCCACTCACTCTCCATCGCCATTGCCACCAACAGCGCCACTGCGCCCAAGCCCTCATCCTCTTTCTTTCTTCTTCCTCTCCTTCTTCCTCTTCTCTTCTCCTTCTCTTCTTCCTTTCCTTTCTTTCCTTTTTTCCTTTCTTTTTTCTTCCTTGTGCCTGCGCTCCATTGCGAGAACAGAGGGCAACGCAGCAGAGCGCGCGCCCACTGCCCACTCCGCGCAACCGGCCCCTACTGCAGCCTCGGAACGCAGCAAGCTCCTCGTCTCCTCGCCAGATCGCATTGCTGCTCCTTCTGTTGGCGCCTACAGTAAAGTAAGCAAGCTTTTGTCAAGCCATCGCTAAACCAACTGCAGATCGGGCCTCCGCCGGCGTCACAAGCAGCCACTGCTGTCCTCCAGCACGCCGAATCGTCTTCTCCGCCTCCCTCCGACCACTTGCAGTCGAGTTCGACTTCAACCGGCAGTCACTGCTTCTAACCCGACCACTGCGTAAGAATTTCTAGCCTAGCAATAGTTAGTTAGTTAACGTTAATTGTGTTATTGTTGTTTAGTTAATTTAGTTAAATGTGTTTTAGTAAAATTTAGTTTAGTAATTAATTAGTTAAGTTATTTTGTAGTTAATTGTTGTAGCTAGTTATTAGTCAAGTTAGTATTAGTAATATCAAGTCAATTAAAATTAATTTTATTATTTGAAAGTTAATTAATTTAGTAATATTAAGTTTAAAGAAAGTTTAACTTTAAGTACTTGGTGGCCAATTTGTTTAGTCAAAGTTAAATGTTATTAAGCTAGTTAATTAAATTAATTTTAATTATCTAGTAGTTAATTAATTTGGTTAATGTTTAATTTAGCTAATTTATGGAGTAGTTAACAAGCTTTATAATTATATTGTTGATTTTATTAGGTAGTTTGGGAATATAATGTTATTGTAATATATAATAAATTAATTATGTGGTGATAGTTGAGATTGATGGAGGGGATGGGAAAATGTTGTTTGAACTAATTGCCCGTCGGATGGGCCGTATAGATTGTATATTTTGTGAAATTATTGATATTTTATCAGGTGGATAGTTTCATTTTTAGGGGAGAATGCTGCCAGAAATTTCGGTAAAATAAAGAAAATTTCGGTGGCAAAAATAAACAAACTTTGGTAGGAAATAATACCAAGTTAGAAAAGGAAATTAATTATTTAAATAGAAAAGAACTTATATTTCCCAAAAATTTAGTTATGTAGATAAGTTAAGGGATATAAAATAAAATTTTTAAAGAAATGGTGAATGAATATTTTGTCTGATAGATTATTCTTTTGTGTGTTCTTAGTAAATTTCTTAAGATCGCCCGGGTCCATCTAGTGCCTCCTCCAGGACCGATCAAAAGCTAGAACCTTGCTCTTCCATCACTGTGAGTAATAATGAATAAATGCACATCAAACACTGGGCATTTGCATAACATATTATTTATAAACATTACATTTTATTTTCCATATTTACAACATATTATAATTATTTCATCGTATATATAATATGTATTAGATGTTTCGATCATTTGTAAATTAACACTTACTATAATGTGCAGATGGAGAATTGTTTGATTATGTGTGTTGTACATTACTGTGATTGTTTGTGTGGAAATTGGGAAAATGCAAGTGGGTCCCAACCAATGGGTTTGTGAAGATGGTAT